GGTCGTACCTCCTGGCCCTCCCACCGTCTCCTTCCCTGAGATCGCGGGAGGCTCAGCTCGCGCCTTCCTAGCCGCCTCCCCAGGTTCTCAGTGAGATGAAATGCATGTCGGGTTCCGCGGCCTCGCCTCCCTGGCCGTGGAGCTCGGGACCAGTGTGCCTCCGCGCCCTGTCCACCCCACCCCAGCTCGCCGGGGCCTGCGCTCCGGACCCCGGCACCCGGCGGACTTGGGTTGAATGTCGACCTCCCGACAGGCCGTACGACCCTGGGCGAGTGACTTCCCCGCGCGGCAGCTCGGCCTTGCGGTCCGTAAAACGGGAATAACATTAGTGCCCGCCGCGTACGGTGGCGGCGAGGATGAGACGAAGTCCTGTACGTTAGGCAGAGAGGACGGCCAGCCTCGAGTCAGGGCCTGTTTGCACACCGTAAACTGAGGGTCCTACCAGTCCCTAACGGGAGGTGGGGGTGGTTGTGTGGTGACTGGGCAAGGCCAGGCCAGCACAGCCTGTGGGGTGGGGAAGTCTGGACACCTGGGACCTACCACTTCCCCCACGCTCCCTGCCAGGGGACCCTCCCTTCCAAGAAGCAGCAGTAGCAGGTCAAGGGGTAAATGGGACAGGTGTGAAGCCTGTACTGAACTGCCTCTTGCCCTTTTCAGACCCAGCCTGGAGCGGTGCTGCTCGTGCTGGTGGTGGAAGGCTGCAGGTGATGAGAAGGTGGTCTGTAGGCAAGGCTGGCGCTCTGGCCCCAGTCCTGCCCCGGCCACAACGTGCAAACGCCTGGACAGGGCCCCCTTGCCTGCATATTTGCAGTTTGGCTATGAGGGCTCAGGCCCTTCAGAATCCCAGTGCCCACCTCTAAACTCCCCTCCAACACAGGAAATCCAACTCTGCTCACACACCTGTTGACCTGGAGCTCGCTACCTCAGTGATCAGAAAGTCCTCCCAGAGGCCCCCATGGAGCCAGCTCGGCCCCCATCCCCTGCCCCAGGCAAACAGGGGAGTTACCTCCTCTCCAGGGATAAACAGCCTCTCCCATCAGACACCGCCTCAGAGGCGTTCCCTTGCTCGGAGCCTCGACCCTTGGTGAGAGGCGGCAGGACCTTGGAGCCAGCCTGCCTGCATTTGAACTTTGGTTAAACCAACTAATGGTTACTCGCTTCACCTCTGGGGGCCTCAGTTCCCCATGAAGACATGGCAGGACTGTTTCAGGCTCCCAGGCCTTCCAGATGTTTTTCCTGTACTGTTCTCACCCCATGCTAGGCCGGGAACCCCAGGGCCCGGTTCCTTCTCCTCTGGACCTCCCTTCGTCCACCTGGAGTTCCTTTCTTCCTGGGTCTGGGGGACACAGCGGGTTCCGACCCTCCTGCCACCCCCGAGTCTTCCCGCTCTGCCTCCTGGGGGTTGTTACCTCTGACGAGGGCTCAACTTGCTGACACCACCACTGAGTCCCCAGGACGGCTGCTAAGACATGAGCCTTATGCCTCAAGGCCCAGGTCCTGAAATCCAGAAGTCCTGGCATTCTGGTCCTCCCACGCTGAGCCCGCAGGCACTACCCACCTCACAGTTCTGCAGGCCGGCCAGGATGTGGCCGGGGCCCCGAAGGCAGTCAGCTCCCTGCACTCCAGCTGCTGGGGCCTCCCTCCACTGCCCACTTGCATACTGAATCCCCAAAGGCCTCTCCACTCACTGCTTTCTCTGTTTAGAATGCTCATTTCCCTCTCCCTTCATCTATTTCTAGCAAGTTCCTACTCATCCTTCAAAACCCAAGCCCAATATCCCATTTGGTGGGAAGCCCTTTCCCAGATTTCTCCCCCCGCCCAAGCTGCTGACACGAAACACCTCTCTCCCTCCACTATACCACTCTCAAACCTTGTGTGGCCCGTCCAGTGACGGGGACCTGGGGTTGGGGGAAAGGGTCTGCAGGTAAAAGGGAAAGACAGATGTCTCTGCTGGAAGCTCTGATTAGGGGCACAACTAGGCCTCCCAACTCCTGCTTCCTCCCTCAGGTTTGTTTTCCAGTCACTCAACAACTGGAAAAACTGCCAGGCCTACCTTTTATTTGCACAGAAATGACCAAGGGCCACAAATCCAAGCTGAGGGGCAGTGCTGGGGGCACCCGAGGAGGACATGTGAGCAGCCAGGACGTGGAGATGGAGCGGATCCCAACATCAGCTCCCACGGAAATCGAAGTCAAGTTCAGTTCCTCTAGGCTACTGGTGTGGAGCTTCCCTGCTGCAGGCAGGAGTCAGGGCAGGGCCATGGCAGGAGGCCCCCCCGCCAGCCTTTGGAAGTTCTTCCTGCTATCTGACTCAAGTCTGCACGCTGCAATTCCATCCCAACTCTGGATCGGTCTTCTCTGGTTCCTGGGGACTTGGGGCCCTCCACCTACTGCCTCCTGGTCTCCCCTCAGGTTCTGGCCCAGTAACTCCCCTGGGGTCACACAGCAAGGCTTCCGTAGAGGGAGCTGGAGAGGCCAGGTCAGAGCAGTGTGATCTCGCTGGGAGGCAGCGTGAGCCTCTTCTCCCGGGCACTGAGCAGGTTCTCCACATGCACAGCCACCACTCGACACAGCTCCAGGCCCTGCAGGAGACAGAGTCCACACCCTCCTGACACTTCCCAGCTTTCACCTGGGGTGAGCCACCTCTCTCGTCCTCAACTCCCCCGGGGCCCTGGGAGGAGCAGCTGGAAGCGGAATGCTGGGTTATAGGCAGAGGGGTGAGCAAGTGCATCTGTGGGCTCTGCTGCATGTGACCTGTGACCGCACGTCTCTGAGCCTCCGTGGCCTCACCTGTGGGATCTCAGTTTACCAGGGCCTGCCTCACAGGGCTGTGGTGAAGATGCTATGAGAGTCTACACATAAACCCTTGAGGTTTAATTAGTCCCCAGTACCTCCATTAAAAAAAAAGTCCCATCAGTAAGTGGTTTCTAACTATGTGTTGCCATGGTTACCACCGGGTACCCACAGCCTAGAATAAGCTGTGATCCAACCTCAGGGCTCCTGCCTGGGGTAGGAGGTGGGGGCAGGCAGTGGGGAACTGGGCAATATCAGTCCATGAGAATGGTTCTCAGACCACAGCCAGTGTTGGAGCTCCCCAGGAATTTCCGGGGGCTGGGGGGCTGCTCTGAGAGGGCAGAAATAATGAGGACAGTGCTTCCTGGGCAGCAGCCATGCACCAGGCATTGTCCCAAGGCCTCCCGTGTCCTGTCCCTCTTGGTCCCCACAATGTCCCTCTGAGGCAGATGCTCTGAGAACCCCCTCCACCAATGAAGAAACTGAGGCTAGAGCCGTGCAGCCCCAGACCTCACAGCTGGCAGATGGTGGGGCTTGAACCTAAGGCCACACTCTGAAGTGCTCTTTGCTGAGGTCAGCTGTGTCTGCCCCACCCCAGGAGCCCCCTCAGCTAATGAGATCAGAGCAGAGCGTGTGTGCATGTGTGTGTGTGTTAGGGCTCCTCCCCTCCAGTGGTCCTCCAGCCCATCCTCCTACCCACACTCTGCAGTGCTCCAGGCCTCACTGGGAATCACCTGACAGCTGTGGAAACGGGGGCTCAGCAGGAAGCAGGGTTGCCTGTCAGAGGTGGGCAGGATGGGGACCCAGCATCACTGCTGCACTCAGATGTCACCTCTTCCTGGAAGCCCTCCCTGATTTACCTCCCAGATAGCTCAAGCACACCCTCCCAGCTCTGATCACAGTTTACTGGAGAGTCTTTGATATCCATCTCCCCCATGAGACCTGAGGCTCTGTGAGGGCCAGGGCTAAGGGGGGGTCTCTGGTATCCCTACAGCTAGTGCAGAGCCTACCATGTAGCGATGCTCACTGGCTACATGTTGGAAGAACTAGTAAATTAATGAACTAATAGATAAATGTGTCCTCCATACACACGTGCCCGAGGCAGAGCAGAGTCGGCAGCATAAAAAGGTGAGGGCGGCGGGCGCTGCAAACGCCTCCTCCTCCTCCTCCTCCTGCATCCATCCATTTGTCCCTCCATCCGTCCGCCCACTTGAGCCTGGCTACATGCTGGGCACTGTGCTATGGACACAATGTGGACAAGGTGGGCACAGCCCTGCTCTCTTGGGGCTGACATTCTAGTGGGAAGACAGAAACATGGGAACACATAACTAAGTGGTTTCCAAGCCAGATGGGGGCTCCTGAGGCAGAGAGAGTGGTTAGCAAGGAGAAGGTTCAGGGGAGGCTTCTAGAAGGAGGGGATGCCTGTGCTGAAACCCAAATAAAGGGAGGGAGAGAGGGAGCCCCATGATGCCAGGGAAGAGCGGCCCAGGGCCAGGGGACAGCGAGTGCATGGGGTCTAGGGCAGGGATGGGGGCAAGTGAGCCAAGGGGAGGGGGTGAGTGGCAGCCACAGTGGTAGGAAGAGAGGGGCAAGGAGGGGAAGGGCTCCGGGGTTGGGGGAGGTAAGTGTAGAGCCCGTTGGTCTCCAAGGGCGATGCTGAGGGGGTCAGGGCAGGAGACAGAAATATGGGGGTGTCTCAGCAGAGCTGGCTTTGGAAGCCTCGGAGCCAGGGAGGGTGCTGAGGGAGAGGGTGAGACACAGCAACGGTTAAAAGGTCTGTCCAAGGGAGGGGTCAGGAAAAGGAGCCCAAGCAGCAGCGGACAGGCGGGCTCGAGGTGGCGAGTCTGCTGCGTGGGAGCTCAGAGTGGCAGTTCTGGGCAGCAGGCTGAGCCACAGGGAAGGCTGAGATTGGGGTGACCCCAGCAGGAGCAGGACTGGGGTGCAGTGGGAAGCAGACTGGTCCCCAGTGGTGGGTTCTCCAAGGGGCACAGGTGCCTGAGGGGCCCTGTTCTGGCCTGTCCCTCAGAGGTGGGCTGGGCAGATGGAGCCCCTCTCTCCTGCCAGCGGGTAGCAGCCCCTCCAAGACGGGCCCTGGTGTGGGCAGTGGTCCTGGGCCCAGACCTTGAGGGGGTGTGGGGGGCTGGCCAGGGCAGACGTAGGGGCCTAGCACTGATTCTGTCCCTTCTCTGGACCTCCATCCCCTCTCTCCAAGGGGGTGAGAACTCTGGTCCTGCCCCATCCCTGAGGGCTGGGAGAACTGGACTTGCCTGACCCAGAGGTTGGCCATAGCATTTAAGGTACAGACACAGTTGCTGCAAATATGAGGAGGCACAGAGCATGTGGACCTCAGTTTCCCTGTCACCTAGGGACCCTGCTCGCCACACCTTCAATCCCAGGCCCCACAATCCACCCTCTGAACCTCAGCCCAGGTGAACGTCCTCAATTTCCCTGCGTCCTTGCCCTCTCACCAACCTTCTATGGCTCCCGAGTGCCCACAGGGGGAAGCCCCAGATTCTCAGCTTTATATTCAAGGCCCCTCAAGACCTCCCATGCCCCTGTTCTCACTATTCTGCAAACAACCTGGGTCCTCCCCTCCCCATGATCCCACCGCCAAGATGCTTCCATGGGAGGCTGCCCTAATGACCCGCAGTTCTGTGCGGTGTTGGGTTGGTTCTGTCCCCTGCAGTGGCCGGGGTGCTCCCTGGGGTGTGACCAGGACCTGACCTGTCTCAGAGCCAGGCCCAAAGAAGAGCCTGATGAATGGAATGAGGGAGTGAGGGGGCTGGGTGACCCACCTGCTCCAGCTGCAGCTGCATGGTACGCTGGGCAGCCACGTCCCCCAGTGCGATCTCCACGTAGGGATAGCTGGAGCTGGCCGTGGGTCGCTGGGTCCACGTCGACTGGATCTCCTTCAGGGGGAACTTCACTATCAGCTCCTGGGGTCATTGGGATACACAGGCTTGTGGGTGGGACTGTCCTGCCCACCCACACCCTCTCCTGGAGATCAGAGCAGCAGGAGGCAGAACACGCCAGTCTGAGTACTCGTTCCCCCGTGACCTGCCGTGTGACCTGGAGCAAGTGGCTCTACCTCTCTGGACCACAGTTTCTCACCTGTGAAACTGATTCCACAAACGCTGCTGCATGCGTGTGTAGCATGCCAAGCACTGTTCTAAATACTTGGGACCCAGAGGTTCAGGACACGCCAATGGCGCCCTGACTTTCACGTCGAAGCTGCTCTTCTCAGCACCTGCCCCTCTTAGTCTGGGGCTCCTTCTGGTCCCAGGAGCAAATGCAGAGCACACGGGGCGAGTGCGGGAGCTGCACGTCTCACCCTCCCAGGGCTCAGGGGTGAGGAGGGGGACGGCACCAGGCTGACACCACTCACATGGGTCTCGGTGCTGAGGAAGCTGAGGCCATTCTGGTTGACGGCCAGGATGCAGGGGGCCGGCACGGCCAGGCTACTGCAGCTCTGGACGAAGAAGAAGGAGGAGCCAAACGTGGGTGAGGCACTGAGGAGGCCTGGTGAGGGGAGCAGGTGACCAGGGCTCCTCAGGGACGGCCAGGGCCCAGCCCTGCAGCCCGAGTCCTCCCTCAGCTGCACCCAGCACACCAGCCCCCAGGCCGGGTCCCCTCCTGTCCAGCATCCCACCTTAGCTGCCCTCCATCCCAGCCCAGCTGCCTTTTCCTGGCCGTCTGCCCAGGGCCACCTGGACCTCAGTGGGGCCTTAGACAGCACCGAAAATGGCTTCATACAAAGAAAAAGGTGCCTCCATCCCCACCCTGCCCAGCAAAGCCCCCCATGATTCTCCCCCAGCCCTGGATTCTTACCCAGAAACTGGGCGCGGGCCTGGTGGGGGCTGAGTGCCTGCGTCTGCTGCCGATGCTGGCTGACCAGGCTTTGCCAAGTGGAGCCGGCTTTGGTGTGGTAGAGCCGGGCTGGGATGTACTCCTGGATCTCCCGCCTGGAGGAGGGGAGAGCCGGCCTGAGTGCAGTTGAGGGTTGTGCAAAACCTGCACAGCTAAACGCTGGGGCACGTGGACAGGGTGAAGGTGGGTGAGCACAGCACTGAGCATACAGAAGGCGCTCAGTAACCACTGGTGGGAACACTAGGCCCTGTTTGTGGAGGAGGGAACGTAGGCTCTGAAAAGGTCATCGACTAGTCCAGGATCACATGGTGATTGAGTGAGTCAGGCTGAGGCCTGAACCCAAGGTGGCTTTGTCCTCTGCAGCCGTGGCCCAGGGAGAAGCCCAGGCCAGAAGGGTGAGAAGAGCACGGTGGGGTAAACAGCAAAGCCACCACCCGCGGCCGGGCAGAGCAGGGGCAGAGAACACGGGCTCCAGGCTGGCCCCCAGCGCCATCACCCCCGCCTGTCCCATTCTCCCAACACGTGTGTCCTGGAAGCTTTTTATCTAAACTTGCCATGCACTCAGTACCAGCCGGAAGGCACCTGTTATGCCCAGAGGCAGGGGCCTAGCTCACATGGCGAGCTGGGGACGTAGGCCCATCTTGGCCAGGCCTTCAGGGCAGCAGGGCGGGGGAGGGGGCTGGCAGGCAGGCAGGCAGGTGCTCACACGGTGGGCAGGTAGAAGTGGTCCTTGGCCCGGTGCTGCAGCGCAGCCAGCTTGGACACCTGCTGCAGCTGCTGCTCGCTGGGCCGGCCGGCCGGCACACTGCTGAAGAGGCCCTTCAGGTAGTCGGGCAGCACCTGCGGGGCAGCATGCAGGTCGGGGGCTGCAGGCGGGCCTCTGCTCACGCCTCCACCCAGGAGAGGCACACACACAGACATTTAATGGTGCCAGTCCCACTCACTTCGGGGGGTAGGTAGCCCATCACTTTCCCGGGCTTTGGGGAACACTGGCACAGGCATGTGAGGCTGGGCCATGGGACTGCGGCCTGGAAGCCACGTGGGAGTTCCCACAAGACCGGGGAAGAGCCAGCACTCACGCTGCTGTGTGCGGGACTTGGGGCCGCATCTCAACACATCCCCACGGGGCTGCTGGCCCACAGGCTGCGAGAGCTAAGTGACTGTATTTGGACTCAGAATTGCTGAAGCTTTGGCACCAGATTCAGAGAAACACGCGCTCTCTGTCCAAGCACGTCCACAAATGTCAGCGCAGGAGGGAGAACCAGATTTTGTAAACTCCATGACCCCAACCTAGAGGACCGAGTCTCAAAGGGGAGTGACCTCAAGACAAAAATGATGTGGCCACGCAAAGCCTTTGAGCAAGGGACAGGCCGAGCTCAGCGCAGGAGGGGAGCAGGAGGAAGGAGGTCAGAGGGCCTCGTGGAGAGATGCCATCCGGGCAGCCTCACTGGGAGGACTCAGAGAAGCGGAGACACCGGAGGGGCAGGCCGGATGGAGCGATGCCTTGAGGAGGCCTGCTTATTAGCAAGTGAGGGCCACGGCGGCGTTGGATGGCTCTGCGACCAGGCAGGGAGCAGAGGCCTCGGTGTAGAAGTGTCAGCGAGGCCCGAACCGCGAAGGCCTCAAATGTCAAAGCTGTGGGGTCACAGGCCCAGGGGAGCCTGGAAGGTCCCAGAGCCTCCGAGCAGCCCAGGAGCTGACCTGGTTGTAGTGCATGGTCACGTATAGCTCATTCTCGAACTTGAGTGGCTGATCCCAGAGCACACGCCGGAACCACAGCCTGTAGCCACCGTCCACCTGCTCCATCTCTGAGGCCACGTCCAGGATATAGGCGCGGCGGCTAAGCGGGCACACGTGCTGGCCTGTGGGGAGCCAGGACGGCTGGTGGGGACACGCATGTCAGGACCCTCCCCGCTCTGGGACACGGTGACCTCGGTAATGGAGCGCACGCTTACGGGACAGGCGCCCTGTTTGTGGACGTTGATGACACAGGTGGGGATAACACCAACTCAAAGCTGTGGCCCACCCAGGCCTGGGGACGCGCCCTGGCCCACGTGCAGAGAAGGCCCAGCCCTTCCCGGAGCAGGCTGGGGACAAGGACAAGCACAGCAGGCCGCACTCAGGAGACCTGGTGGGAGCCTCTCTGCAGGCGTCCTTCGGGGGGACGGGGAGCACGGGGCCCGGCACCGAGCGGGCCTCAGCCTGCACGAGAGGCTTCAGTGTCCACCTCCTGCACTGACACCCCTGCTCCCCACCCCACACCTTCAGTAAGATTTTACCAAAAAGAGGGTGGCAGGGTAATACACGTCCCCGGACTGGCCAGACTGTCCGGGTCCAAATCCCAACCGTGTGGCCTTGGGCGAGCCCCGGCCCCCGTGGCGGGCTGAGTCACGGCCCCTCCCCACAGATGCCGGCGCCCTCATCCCCAGAACCTGCGAACGCGCCGCCTCGTGGCAGAAGGGACTGGAAGGTGACTAAGGTGAAGGACTGTGGGATGGGGAGAGTATCCCGGGTCACCCAGGTGGACCCAGTGTGGTCTCAAGGGTCCTTGTGAGAAGGAGTCAGGGAGATCAAAGAGCGGGCAACGGGAAGGCACTGCACTTTCGGCTCTGAGGGTGGGGGAGGCGCCCCGAGCCAAGGCACGGGGCAGTCTCCAGAAGCTGCAAAAGGCCGGGAAACAGACCCCTTCCTAGAGCCTCCAGGAGCCAGCCCTGAGGACGCTGATCTCCGGACTCTGACCTTCAGAACCGTAAGGATGATAAACGTGTGTTGTTATGAGGCACTAAGCATGAGGTGATTTGTTTTGGCAGCAGCAACAGGAGACGAATACCGCCTCCCTGGGCCTCAGTGTTCCCATCTGCTAGCGGGAAGAGTGAGTCTCATCTCGCAGCACAGTGGTGGGGATGAAGTCAGGTTACAGGATTAGGGACTTCCACCCGTGCCTGGGACATAAATTCTGTTATTTGGACCATTTTGTTACCACCTTCCCCTGCCCTGTGTCTTGGCTGGACGTCGGGCAAGCAGGGCCGAGGGCAGGTGGCTCAGAGCTGAGGCAGCCGCAGGCTAACTGCAGGAGGTGGGTGGAGCTGACCAGCTGGTGGCAGGACCAGGGTCTCAGGCTGCAGGTGGAAAGGGTTTGGTGACACTGAGCAGGGCCTGGTGAGACCAGGGCAGGTGGGGGGCTCTGATGGCCACTATGAGGCATAAGAGGCAGGAAAAAGGATCTGTGCTCGTGGGCTCCAGGAGTGGCATGAAGGGAAGCACTGAGCAGGCCCCGAGGGGCAGAGAGAGGCCCAGAGAGGGCCCTGTCTTCCACGAGCTTGCAGCCTGCTAGGCCAGACAAACACAGAAAATGAAGCAGGGGGGACAGATGGGCGGAAGCAGGGCTGGGGGTGCTCGGTGCACGGAGAGGCCCCTCCATGTGGGCCGAGGGGCTTCCTGGGGGAAGGGGCATCTGGCCTGGGCCTTACAGGTGGGGTGGGGGCGTGAGCCCGGCACGCCCCGTCCTTTGGCCACTCACCTCGGTTGGTGACAACAAAGATGACATACTCGTCAAAGGCCTCGGGGCGCATCAGAGCCATCTCAGCACAGATCTCCTCCACCACGTCCAGGGCCACCTGCGGGGAGGGAAGAGGGAGGCTGCCCCTGAGCCCACCCAAGCACCCTGCAGAGGCCAGGGTCCCGGCAGCCTCTGGGAGTCAGCCTCTCGCAGGGAAGGGGCCCAGCTTTTGGTGTCTGAGAGACTCAGGTTCGGAGCCGGCCATCGTCTCTGATCTGCAGTGTGACCTCACGCTGGAGGCCCCACCTCCCCAAGGCGCCTTCTGCTCCTCTGAGAATAAATCCTGCCCTGCAGGGCTGTGGGGGAGCTGGGGGAGCTGAGCACCCTGGGGCCAGCCCTGGAGAGACGGAGGGGTGGAGGGTATGCCCGCTGGAGGCGTTCCCTCACTTACGGTGCATGTTTTGATTTTCAGATGGCGCTCGAGGCCTCCGGGGAGAAGAAAGAGCTGCCTCTTGGAACTGCGGCCCGCCTGGACAGGAAGGAGAGGGAAGACGGGAAGACGGGACGGGTTGGGCCCCGGGATCTGGGCCAGCCGCTGTTCCTGCCGCGGGAGGCCCCGGCCAGGCGCAGGCACGCACCGGCTCACGTGTACATGGGGCCTGACATGCAACGGGGTCCCTGGGGGGCCGTCCCTCTCGACTCCCACCCCAACTCACCAACATGGCCTGGAGCTCCATGCTGCTTGGGAGCTCGCGGCGGCCACCAAAGTGCAAGGTTTTCTGCAGGTTCTGCTCACAGGCCTTGGCGATCCCTGCAGAGACGGGAGTCAGCGCCTCATCCAGGGTGGGCAGCGGAGGAAGGGGCTCCTCTGGCCCCAGCCCTGAGCCCACTGGGGTGGGTGTTTGCTCCCCCTTCAGTGTTAGGGAGGCAGTTCAGACGGCAGTGATTTGCCCAAGATCAGGAGCCAGAGTATAAAAGCTGGATTCGAACCAACGTCTCACGTGCTTAAGGCCTGCACGCTCCCTGCAACAGGCTGTGTGGCTGTGGTGGTGCGACTGTGCCCCGCCAGCTGGGACCCTCACTACCCCCCACCTTACCCAGGGGCCCGTGCAGAAGACCCTCCATCTGTTTCCCTGTGTCTCCGGCTACGCAAAGCCCTCACCCTGCTCTGGGCACGTGCTGCTGCCATCCCTGGAGCTGAGTCTGCACCTCTGAGTCCAGGCAAGTTTGTTAACTGAGTCAGAGGAGGACTCAGAGGCAGAGAGTGTGAGCGCCCTGTCTCCACCATGGCTGCTGTGGTGGCCACAGAGGCCCTGGCCTCTTTCTCAGGGGGACCCAGGGGTCTCTCTGGAAACAAGGCGGTGAGTGAGGCTGAGGAGTGACCCCTTTCCCTGGACTCCAATGGGAAAAGGCTGAGGCCCTGACACCATCCTTGGGAGTTCCCCACCTGGACCCACTCGAGACCCTTGTTGTTTCCGGAAGACCCCAGGAAGCAGGGCCTTGCCACCCACTGTCCTCCTCTCCCACATGTCACACATCTCCACCTCTGGGCCTTTACTCCTGCTACTCAGCCCACCTGGAAACCCCTCCCATGTGCTCACTACCCAGAGCAACACCTCCTCTAGGAAGCCTCCCCTGATATGCCATCCTGCCCGTTAGGTCAGCCCCATAGGACCTCCCCAAGTGTCTGGGAGTGGACTGATATCAGTAAACATTGCCCAGCCACCTGCCGTCTGCCCTTGGCCCTAGTCCCTCCTTGCTGGCCCCTCACCCTGGAAGGGCAGGCCTGGGGTCCGGCTCACGTCTTGGAGAAAGCGAATGAGGTGTGGCTGGAGGACCTCAGAGCAGCTGTGGTAGGCAGCCACGATGTACAGCAGCCTCCAGCCCCGCTGGCAGCTGTCCCTGTGAGGACACACAGGGCCTTCGTTGCAGGTGGCCACTGCACTACACTGCCATGCCAGGGGTCTCCTGCGACTGGGCTGGAGGCCTCTGGCTCTCAAGCAGCTCCTGTCTTCTGAGGATGCCCCTCCCTGCCCTGTGAGAGTAGGGTGGATGGGTCCCAGAGCCAGGCAGAAGGTGTGTTCTATTGGGAGTCCAGGGTGGGAGGTGGGGAGGGACAGGGATGAGGCTGGTGGTATGAACAATGTGCACAAGGAAGCCAGCCTTCTCTGGTAGGATCTCCCTGGAGAGGCTGCTCAGTGAAGGTCCTTGAAGGAGGAGCCAGGGAGACCTTGTGCAGAGGTAGTGACAGGTAAGGCCGGGTGAGAAGGGCAGGAGGATGCGCTGAGTGGTTCTGAAATTCCTGGGGGACGAGACCAAGTGGACAGGAGGGTGGCCCAGGGATAACAAGAGCAGCACACATTTTGGGTCCCTGCCATGTGCTGGTCATGTGTGAGACATGGAAGTTCACCTTCAAGCTGCCCTAGAGTGAGGGTTTCACTTGTAGGGACCTCTGGTGTCTGCAGACAGCACTTGGGCTTCCTTTGGGAAACCACCCACCCCTCCCCAGCTCCCTGTGGTTTGGAGCTGGGTACCACAGCCAGGAATGGACAATGAGAACACTGCAGCCCCTGGCCACTGTGATTGGTTTAGAGATGGGCATGGGAGCCAGGTCTGGCCAATTAAAATTCAGCCTCCCTCTGGCTATGACGATTGGTCTGGGGACAGGAATATGACCCAGGTCTAGTCAGTCAGAGCTCTTTATCCTCCAACCATTGTGGTTGGCTCAGGGATGGGCACGTGACCAAGTCAGGCCAGGAAGACTGGACTTGGGGATTTCTGCTGCAAACATTGGGTCAGTCTTGCTCTCCCTGGGATTGCTGAGCTGAGAAATGTCTCTCTAGAGCTACCATTTTGCCAATCTATGGAATATATTGCTTGGAAATGATATCAACACAGAGGAAAGCATGGAAAGGATTTAGGGAAATTCTGCTTTCTGATGACCCTGGATCCAGCTATGCCTGAAGTCCCATTACCTGAACCCTCTTTTGCTTAAACCAGCTAGAATGGGGTTTCCGTCACTTGCAGCCAAGAACCTGGACTTACACCTTATCAGTGCATTTTACAGACGAGGAAACTTAAGCTCAGAGACCAAAAACGGATTGTCCCAACCAAGCAATTTCAAATACATGTGCTCTGCCTACTGAGAGAGGAAAAGGATGAAAGGAAGAGAACCGGGGAGGATGGGCTGGGAGGTGGGAGGCTGACCTGGTCCCTCCTGGAGCATGGACACGGGGGAAGGGAAGAAGGGAAAGGTGAAGCCCACTCACGGCTTGGTGCTGGTGTTGTCTGTGATCTGCTTCACGACTTGGCAGTAACACTCGTCCCGCATGACCTCGTGGTCCCTGCACAGCTGTAGGAGGGCAGGCCCACGCCACACGTAAGAACAGGCCTGGTGTCCCTTCCCCAGGCACCAGGGGGACGCGCTCTTCTCTGGGTCACACAAGAAGCTTCCCACCCCAGAGTCCTGCAAGTCTGGCTGACAGATGGGGGAACTGAGTCACAGAGCAGAGAGGGGACTGACCTTCAGGAGGGTGCAAAGCACGTCCAGTTCACTCTGGCCTTTCAGCGGGGCATCCCCCATGAACCGCATCACAGCTGGAGGAAACACCTGTCCCACTCAGGCCACCAGAACCCCAGCTGCCCGCCCACCTCAGGGGACCCTGGAGTTGGGCCCCTCCCGGAGAGCAGTCGCCAGGGGAGCGGGGGTTCCTCCTCTCTTGAGGGGCCCCACGTCTGAGTTGAGGGCAGCAGTGGTGGTGAGCAGAGGTCACACATTGCCGGGTCCCCCCTGGCCACAGCCCCACCCCCACACCTAGAAACATGTCTGTGGCCATCTTGTTGAGGCTGCTGTCGCTGAGCTCGATGAGGGAGTCCTTGAGCGGGGTCTGCGGGGGTGGGGAGGGGAAGGGGCTGGTCAGGAGGGGAGGGGCCTGTGACGACAGGGGAGGGGCTGGGTCAGGAGGGGAGGGGCCTGTGACAGGGGAGGGGCTGGGTCAGGAGGGGAGTGCAAGGTAAACCCATGTGGTGTTTCCTCTCTTAGGACATGAGGGTCCACACCACCAAAAGGCAGTCAGGCCAGACACTGGGGAAGATGCTGCCCCATGGGAGGAATCCAGGCCCCAGGGTGCTGAGAGCAGGAAGGAGGGGATCTCGCTGAGGGCAAGGCTGGCCCGGAGGGGCTTTCATATCACCATTTAATCGCGGGGAACCTGGGGCCTGGGGCTGGAGACCTTGGTGAAACAAAGCAAGTCCTCCAAAGTTCTGGATTCCCGACCCTCCTTGGGTTTCAGCCTTAGGCCATCCCTGCAACAGGAATGGACGCTTCGGACCTGTCTTGCTCCGAGCCTTTGGCTGCATCCCCTTCTCACGCGTGTACCTGTCCCACTGTCAGCCACTGGGCAGGAAGGCTCAGAGTGGAGGCCGCAGGCGGGTCTCACCTCTGGGTGGTTTCTCACCCCTCCACCAGAACTGGGGCCTCCCTGCCTGGGCGGCTGCAAGAAGGCCCTCCCCAGGGTGGGGATGAGGGGTGGGGCCTCCACTCACTGAGGTCTCCTCTGAGGGTCTCGGAAATACTTCTGGGCGAACTCCAGCATTGTGTACGGTGGGAAAGCCAGGCCGTCCTCCCCGCAGTCAGCGGAACCAGCCTGGATTGGGGGACCCTGCAAGAGGGCCATCTGCCACAGCCCACCCGGTCAGAGCTGACCCAGGGCAGCCCCTGGCTGACTGTGCCAGACCCTCTCAGGCTGCCTCCATTGCTCCCCAGTGCCTGGCCCACTGACCTGGCCCCTCCCTCCTTTCTCTCCTTCTGCCCTGGCGAGCTGCGAGCCACGGGAATCGGCTGGCATCACCCACCAGGCCCCACCCCTTCCCAGGAGGACTTCACCTTCTTGCCGGCATAGGCTGGTCCTGCCCACCTTGGCCTGGTCACAACCCTTCCACTGAACCCCCATCCTCCCTACCCACTGGCCACACCTCCAGCCACCTCTGGTTAAATCTTGCGGGTCACACGTCTGCTTGGCCCTAGAAAGTCGCCTGGCCCCAGGATGGCCCACCCCGGCTGACCCCGCTCCCCTCCATACCAGTCAGGCTGACCCCTTTGCTGTGCCCGCCCCTCGGTCTGGCCCTGCGCTCTCACCTCCCTCCTGCGGCCCACCTCCTGTGCAGCAGCGGCCGAGGCCACGGCAGCGGCCACGGCAGCAGCACGGCCCCGGCCTGGCTCGGTGGGCAGCTGCAGGAAGTCAGGGGCGGCTGCGGGCTGCACCAGCTCAGAAGGGAAGCGGCCCACACGCCCATGGATGGTCCCAAACCTCCAGCCTAGGGGGCGGGGAAGGGCTCTGAGCAGCAGGAGGGGCTCATCTGGGAACTCGGGGCCCAGAGACACCTCTCTGTGAGGCAGGTCTGCCTCGGAGCCAGCTACAGAAGAGGACCCAGGCTCAGCGGAGGGAAGGCCCTCCCTCCCTCAGTGGGACAGGTGGCAGAAAAGAACACAGCGCAGCTTGACCCTCGGAGACCCTTTAGCCAGACGTGCAGGCGAAGGGCTGGGCTGGATGGCCCCCTTGGGAGCTGCAGCCAGGCCAGGCCCTTCAGGGCACCAGAACTCCCACTGTGCATCTGCCCTGTTTGGGTTCCCAGGGTGCCCACCAAAGTCGGGGCCTCGACGCCGCAGCTCCTCCAGGTACACGACCTTCTTGCCGACCACGCACCCAGCGCTATAGCCTGCAGGCCAGGCTCCATCAGCATTGTCGGGGAGGCCCCCGCCCCACCTCCGCCTGGGGACCCACCCGGTCCCGCAGCGCTGACCCACTCGAGGAGGCTCCAGGGGCTGCAGGTGAATAATGTCGCCCTTGTGGAAGGCCAGTAGCGTGGGGTCCTCGGGCAGGAAGTTCCTCACAGCCACCACATAGTCTGAGCCCTGGATCAGCCAGGGGCCGGGTGAGGGCTGCAGTCCGATCCCCCCCACTGCCCCTCCCACAGCAGCCATTCCTCCCGGATCCATCAGGGGCAGGGACATGCTGGGCCTGACGCAGGGCTATGCCTGCTCCAGGCCTGGGGCTCCGTTCTACAAGGAGTGGGGGGTTGGGGGACGGTGCCACTGAACTGGGCAGTGCAGCCCCGGCTGAATGGGAGGAATGCCGCTGCCTGCTGTGGAGCCTGGAGGAGGTGCTGGGACACCTTGAGGTGTGAGTACAGGATTCTGGAGGAGCAGGCTGGTGGAAGAGCACCCCGGGTGAGGGCAGAGCCCCGGACACGCGCACATCCGCGCTTCCTAGGCAGGTGTGGCTGGCACATCCGGGGTGGGAGCGCCCGGTGCTGGGCCCTCGCCCTGCTGGGGGTGTCGGTAGGAGGCCTTAACCTTCTTCAGCTCCAGGATGAAGTCGTCCACCAGGGTCTTGACCTGGTGAGCTCGGGCAGAGAACAGGATGACCTTCTCGCTAGCCAAGTTGAACTCCAGCATGTTCTGGGAGGGGATAGTCACAAACAGGATATCTGCAAAGCTGGGGGAGGGGATGGGGCATGAGGGCAGGACCCTGGGCCAGAGGGGCATGCTCCCCACAGCCATGCTGCTCCTTCTCCGCTGCCCTGCCCCAGGACCCGGGGAGCATCCCGGCCTCCAGACCCCTCGTCTGCAGCTGCAGTGCGGTGCCCCACCCTGTGAACCCGCACCTTCCAGCTCCCCCCGATCTTTTGCCTTTTTTTTGGTTTTCTTCTCTTAGTCCAACCTTCCAGATTTTGCCCACACAAATCTCTCCCACTCAGTGAGCAAATTGTTTCCATCTTTTGAGGCAAAGAGCTTTCACCTATTGGTGAGTGAGGCTCTATTCCTGTGCTGTTATACACAGCTGCTGGGAGTGGGGCCGGGGACTCCGGAAGCACCCTTCCCTTCCAGGCTGCATCTGAACTTGGCTGCTCAGAGTGCAGTCGGCCCCCCACCCTGCACAGTGAGCTCGGTGAGGGCAGGGCTGCGGTGGTGGGCTCCCAGCTCACCCACTTCCTGGCTGTGTGACCTGAGACAAGCACCCTCCCTCTCTGAGCCTGTTTCCCCACCCCCAAGGTGGGCTTGATTCAAGAGCTTGGTACAACCCGGCACATGGTAGGTCCAGCCATCCCTCAGTATCCAGGGGGTTCCAGGGCCCATCGAGGGCTCCCAAATGCACAGGTGCTCAAGTCCCTAGTACTTGCATATAACTTGCACACGTGCACGCAAATACTTTCAACCACCTAGGTAACTTGTAATCTCTAAACTCAACGTAAATACTATGTAAACAGTCGCTGGTGCACAGCAGATTCCAATTTTGCTTTTTGGAACTTCATGGAATTGTTTTTCTGAATATTTGCCACCCACGATGGGTTGAACTGTGGATGTGGAACCGCAGATACGGAGGGCCCACTGTACTCAGTCACTGGCTACGGGAAAAGTCGGTGAGGAAACGCTGACGTCAGTGCGCCCAGTGTCTGGCCAGCCCCGCCCCCGCCGTCTGCGGTCACCTGTACGTGCGCAGGACCCGCAGCTGCCCGCTGGCCGTGCGGGTGCCCTTGACCATCCGCAGGAGTTTGATGCCCGTGTGAGACACAGCCAGGATCTGCACCCCGGTGCCCACGCTGCCCTGCGGTGGGGAAGAGAGGCATGTTAGGGCCTTCCAACCTCATCCCTAGAGCCCCTGGG